TATTGTTTTGAGAGGCGGCTGGTGAGTCCTGTGACTTCTGTCCCTTCTGAACGCCGGGACCTACCTATAAACTGCGGGAGGAAAACAGACGTGAGGCCGGCGCCCATCTGCCCCGCCCCCCCAAGCGCCCCGATGGGAGATCTGGTCCACCCCCGGCCGGCAGAGTCGGGGCGCAGGGGGGAGCGCTTCTCTCACCCTCAGATGCAATATGCATTAGTGATTATTTTACTGCCCGATTATTTTAATTGATTACTGGAACATAACCTAGGTGGGCCGTTACTGGAGCACATTTATTAGAGCAATGACTTTCAGTGGTAAGGAAGCTGTTAAAAATGGGCAGCCTCACCTGTTGTCTGAGGATAGTTTAGAATAACTTAGAATTTAACACACACACACACACACTCTTAACATGCACGTATCCACTGACCCAGGGTTTCACTCCGATAATCTCATAGTGATACAAAAACGCCCTCACACACTCACTCGAGAATCAGTGAGGCACCCATTTGGTCAGGATCGTAGCAAAATATTAGAGACCATCCCATTATGCTTTACTAGAGGAAGAGTGTGTCCCTATTTGGAAATTTGGTGAACTCGTGAAGAAAGGTGACGTAAATTTAGGCAGGCACGTGGGAAATTCTCCCTAATGCAGGTCAAGGGGCAGGGCAAAGGGGGAGAGCACAGCCCACTCATGTTCTAAAAGACCCTAAGGATGTTGGCAGGGTGTAAATGCACCGAGGAAACCTGGAGACTCCACCTGAACTGTGGGCCGGGTTTTCTGGGGAGACAGAGAGCAAGAGGGGGGAAGCTGAGGAATAGTAACATTTCACTTCCTCTCTTCCTTGCTGCTTCAATGTTTATTTTTTTTAAAATAACTTTTTATTCGTGTTTTTAGAGCCAGAGGAAGGGAGAGAGATAGAAACATGGATGAGAGAGAAACATCCTTCGCTCATGGATCAGCTGCTTCCTGCCCGCCCCCTACTGGGGATCCGGCCCAGAGCCCGGGTATGTGCCCTGACTGGGAACTGAACCAGCAACCTCTTGGTGCACCAGCGATGCTCAGCCACTGAGCCACACCGGCTGGGCTGTGTTGCTTCGATGTTTAAATGAGCATTTCTTCACATATTACTTGTGCAAATCAAAATAAATATTTAAAAGATAGAAGTGATGCATGCATACAGTTACAAATATTAGCACAGAAAGATACCCAACTGGAGCTCAGCAGCAAACCAGTGCAAATGTGACCACTTATTTTTATTTATTTTTTATTTTTTATGCCCTCACCTAAGGATATTTTTTCCATTGATTTTGAGAGAGAGAGAGAGAGAAGGAGAGAGAGAGAAGCATCGATGTGAGAGACATGTCGATTGGTTGCCTTCCGCACACATCCAGACTGGGACCCAAGATCAAGCCGACAACTGAGGTATGTGCCCTTGGTCAGGAATCAAACCTGCAACCCTTTGGTGCATGGGCCAGAGCTCTAACCACTGAGCCACACCGGCCAGGGCAAATGTGACCATTACTAATCTTTCCTTATGCTTATCCATCTGGAATCTTTCTTCTGTATTTATAATATATTTGCTACTCTCTTAAAATTTTTGTGTTCCTTAAAGTTGTCTCCCTTGAAACTGAAGAATAATATCAATGGAACCTCTTTAAAATGGACTTGGAGCTGCCACCCCGGAGGAAGTGTCTTGCATGTCTTATGCCTCAAATCTTTTGATAGTAAACAGGGCACAAGAACCTTGGGATGTGCCTAAAGCAACATTGTGCCCCAAAGGACTGTTTGCAAAGAGAACAAGAAAG